TCACCTTGAGGCCAAGGTCATTTGACAAAGACACATTTGAATGGTTGGATGCTTCACAATTGAAAAAAAAAACTATGATGGAATCGCCTGCAAAAAACGGTTATCGTGGCGCTACCGAGACGTGCTGACAGATGGGGGGAAAAAGACGGAAAAGCCAAACGAGGAAACGATGCACGTGCCCTTGTCACTCAAAAATCAACAACACTCATTTGTTTTGATTTGGGGTCAGGTTGCAGTCTCCTGCCAGCCTCTTGAATATGTATTAACAATTTGAAACCAACAACAAAAAGGCGCATTCCATTCAGTGATCCACCAGTTCTTACCTGTCAGGATGGTTAGATGAAAAACGAGAGAGGCCACGCTCATTTTTGTCAATCAATCCAGTCTTCCAAAAGTCCTCTCCGACTTCAACACGTTGCCTATCGACCGCTAGAGAATTGCCAAAGTTGGACGTGCCTGCAACAATCTTTCACGACTGGCAAACGACTCGGGGCGCACGCGACACTTTCGGCTCGCTGGCTCTTGGCGGCGAGCCGTGTTGTTATTGTGTCCCGCAGCTGACGGTTGAGTTGAATGGGTGACAACGCTCGTTACTCGAGAGGGACACGATCTGTGTCGCGCTTTACGAGCTCAACATGCCACAGTAATCCGTCACGAAAATACACCGCGGTGAACTTGACTGACGGCGCACAACTTGTAGGAGACATTAAATGACCCGCGATGAAAACCTCTTGCGAGATTCACACAACGGAAAGAGAAACGAGGAGAAACGTGAAAGTTATATTGTGGATATTCTGATTTGAATTTGTAATTTATCAATGGAGGGGCCATGCATTTGATACAAAAAAAAGACAAAAATATAATCTATTTAAACCCATCGTTGCTGCTAGAGAGGCTGTGAGGATGAATTTGAAATCAGATTGCTAACACAGACAACAATACATTGATTCTGAAGGCTCTGGGCAGATTAGATTTGCATAGCAACAACACATAGAGGCTGAAATCCAACTGGACAAAAAAAAAGTATGGATGGCTAGCTGGCTAGCTGTCTTTATTCAAAAAAAACACACACACACAAATCGTGACACGAGGAACATCCGATCTGGCCCAACGGTCTCTGGTCGCTATGGTAACGTTTAAACGTGCCTTCAAAATAAGATACGCCGCAAATAAAAAGTGCATGAAAAATACGACTCACCATCGCCGCATATTTTGCAGAGTGGGCTTGATGCGTGGGAATCTCACGTTGAGATAAATCCGTATCTTACGTAGGACTCCTGATACTGTATTTTTAAAAGAAGCCTTTTTTTCTTGGAAGTCGTAGGCGCCTCTTCTGTCTCATGGCTGGGCCTGTTCCCCTTCCCAGAGGAACTTCCCAAAGACGTTTGTTTTTTTTACTCATTTTGCTAGCTCCTGGGTTTCATTTTTAGCGGTAACCTGTCACGTGACTGAGAAGCGCCGCCTTCACCTGCGTCACAAGTGGCAAACTGTAGACATACTGCAGATAATCCGGTAATTTTTCAAATTAAAACATTTTTCAGATTCCGAAACGAATAAAACTGAAGTAATGTAAGTTATTTAGTCTTTCTGTGCGGCCCGGCACCGGGGGGTTGGGGACCGCTGCTGTAAATGAATGGGCATTTCTTCTATGTACTAAGCAGCGTATTCAAAAATGTTTTTCGTATTTTCTCTTGTTGGAGTCACATCTCCTGGGCTTGCTCGCCAAGTCGGTGCCCCCCCGTGACGGGTCAGTCAACCCAATATCCTCATACCCGGCCGTGCGTTCAATCAACTGCTCGCTCAAGCACAGGCCTCATTCATCTCACTTAGGGTCAAATCACCGTTTTGGCAACATCTGAATTAAGAGAGATTTACCCCAACGCTCCCCAGCTCTCTCCAAATTTACACCATAATTTCAGAGCCGTCATGTGACAGTGATAAGTCACCACTGAATTGAAGCACTTATTATTGAGTAAAAAATGTGAATCCTTGCTCAATTCCCATTCATGTTTTGAAAGCATTGTTGGCCTGCTAGCTTAATGCTAAAACATCATCGATGGGTTAATGAATCGAGCACCGTTGTTGCAATGAACACAAAAACATATTTAAACACACGCACACATAGCTTACAACAATACAGTACACATAAGCATATATACTTTATCTTCTGTCAAAGACAGCTAACATTATCACAGTATGTTTTACTTGGTATCATCGGCGACATGTCGTATTAGCGCAGCTAAAAAAACCCCCAAAAAAACACGTCTTCTTAACCTTAAATAAACATGAGTATTTTCTGTGTGAACAACTACGATGAGTCTTTAAATTTGAATGAAAATAACGTGTATACTGCGTATAGGGCGAGTACAATAAAAGAAGGCAACAAACAACAACTCAATGCGTACGGCTGAGTGAGCGATAAGAGTAGGATGTGGATCCACTATGCAAACGCGAGCGACATAGAAACAGAATAAACTGCATTTGTAAATCTATTCAGCACAGCAAACGCGGCCAACAAAGGTCACTTATCTCATGGATCACAGCTCTTGAAATGAACTCTCATTAATGACAACGGGGGCCCATCCGTGGAGACAAAGCAGCGGCCAACCGCAAGCTTATCGCAGCATCCAACGCGGTGATGAGAAGCTTGATTGCGACGTGTGGATGACGCTGGGATACATTGGGGGGGTGATGCTTAACGCTTGGATGAAAATCCAATTTTTCCACCGCACAATCACCAGGAGACAAGTGAGGGTTTGGTTCATGTTAAGCAAAGGTGACGCCGGGGCCCGACAGCTGACTGATTGGATGTCAAATGCTGATTGGGTCTCGGTTGCTTTGTGGGATGAAGGGATGGGGGGGAATCGAAACAAAACAAAACATGCGACGGTCATGAAGGCAAGACAACAATAAAAGGAGCAACGAATAGGACAAAGAATTACAAAAATAAGTGCATTGGTACGCAAAGTGGTTCTTGAATTATATTAGACCACACACACACACACACACACACACACACACACACACGGCACGCTCATTATGTGGCGTCACTTGGCTGTGTAAATTTGCATGCGTGCGTTCAATGCTGCTGGCTGGTTTGAGTTTCACACCGAATTACTGTGAGTGATGGAGGAGCTTAGGCACAGTCACATGGTGCGATGCTTTTAGGGACAACCTGTCATTGCTGATAATTATGCATAACTAAGGACAAACAGCGCCTTTCTCAAGGTTAGCCTGTAGCCAGCCGCAACACACACGAACCACAAATGCAATATGATTGATTAAAATGTGAAGAAATGAGCTCTTTTCAGTGTTAAGACGTGCTTAATCATGAACGTATGAGAAACCGATGATGACATGAAGGAAAATCAATATATGCTTGATCGATGTACAATGAAAAGCAGGAAAATCCTGTCGCAAGTGCAACAGAGCAATGTCCGCCATCTAGTGCTGAATGGGGATATTACAACTTAAAACTCGACAGTGGACCCCCGCTATTCAAGGGACATATGGACCTGATTGGGAAAAACAAAAATCTGTCAGTGACTCTTATTCAAATGCATCAGAAATATAATGATAATTAAACCAAAATTAAAAAATATATATTTATAATAAAACTGATAAAAAATTAAGTAAAATCAGCTAGAATAGGTTTCAGCACTGCCGTGACCCAACTTGCTTTCCCACCGAATCGTTTTAACTCAAGTGAATTGACTCCACTCACGAGGTCGTGTTTTACCAGTTTAATAAACTAAACTGATCATGCACAAGTTGTGTACAAATGAAAGACGGTACAAAATTAATTGACAAATTGACGCTGTTTGCAGTACAACAAAAGTCGGGCAAATGCACCAGTGTGTACACATAGACAGGAAAAGTCTGAAAGGCTCATTCAACAAAGAGGTCATAAAAAAATAAGACGTTGTAAAAAGTACCAACCCCCCCCCCCAAAAAAAAAATCAGTAGCTTATTTTTAGTCGAATCTATACAATGCTTGAAGAGATGACTTTATGATAGGCAGGCGGGAACGTGGACTAAATCTATCACAGCACAGACAAAAAAAAAAAAAAAAAGTCACAGCGAAACAATTTTTCCACATGCTGAGATATGACTACAAAAGCACCGATGCATGCTGGTATGTCAGCTTGACGCATAAATCCCCCGACAGAAATGGGGAGGCATAGAGTACAGATTGGAAGGTTCATCATCTGCATGGTAGGAAGAGTCCATACAAAGGGCAATTTTCAAAAAAAAAAAGAATTCATTCATTCAAATCTTTTTTTTTTCTTCTTCTCCTCAACAAAAAGCAGGTTTGAGGACCTGCCCGCAACAATTTGTCCTCGCGTGCGTTCAGAAGAGGGCGTCGACATTTTTAATGAGCACCTCCACCACCTGCCTCTGGTAACGGATGTCATTGAGGGCGGTCATGGCGTCAAGATCCGGGCTGCGCATGAGGGTGGGCCCGAAAACAATGGCCAGGTTCTCGGCGTTCATTCGGTTGGATTTCTCGTTTTGGGTCACCCTGAAACATCAAAGTGGGCTTTCGTAATCACGAGGTTCTTTATATATTAGGCAGAATAACATTTCTCATTCACAAGTCATTTAGTTAAAGATATCTCATGAATAAAATAACTGTTTGGTCTTTTAACATTCACAACAATAAAGCTAGGAATTACAGGCAGAAGGTTGACTTTTTTTCTAAAACTGTATCCTTTCGTATTTGATCGGGATGCGCGAGGACCGATACCGGGTGTCGTCATTGGGCCGATACCGGCCTTATTTCAAGGTATTCGGAAGTCGTGAAGGATGGCGATACCGGCAACTGATACTTAAGATACTTCAAAATCTGATATTGAAAAAGTCTTGCTTGCCAGCACTTTGTGTTCATTGAAATTGTATTTATCAAGAATAGTAAAGGTCACGGCATTTGGTATTGGTGAGTACTAAAGACGGAATGCATAAATTTGTATCGGTTTGAAAAAAGTGATATCATCGAAGATCCCTCCCATTTAAAAAAAAAAAAAAAAAAAGAATTCATTCATTCAAACCTTTTTTTTTCTTCTTCTTCTCCTCAACAAAAAGCAGGTTTGAGGACCTGCCCGCAACAATTTGTCCTCGCGTGCGTTCAGAAGAGGGCGTCGACATTTTTAATGAGCACCTCCACCACCTGCCTCTGGTAACGGATGTCATTGAGGGCGGTCATGGCGTCAAGATCCGGGCTGCGCATGAGGGTGGGCCCGAAAACAATGGCCAGGTTCTCGGCGTTCATTCGGTTGGATTTCTCGTTTTGGGTCACCCTGAAACATCAAAGTGGGCTTTCGTAATCACGAGGTTCTTTATATATTAGGCAGAATAACATTTCTCATTCACAAGTCATTTAGTTAAAGATACCTAATGAATAAAATGACTGTTTGGTCTTTTAACATTCACAACAATAAAGCTAGGAATTACAGGCAGAAGGTTGACTTTTTTTCTAAAACTGTATCCTTTCGTATTTGATCGGGATGCGCGAGGACCGATACCGGGTGTCGTCATTGGGCCGATACCGGCCTTATTTCAAGGTATTCGGAAGTCGTGAAGGATGGCGATACCGGCAACTGATACTTAAGATACTTCAAAATCTGATACTGAAAAAGTCTTGCTTGCCAGCACTTTGTGTCCATTGAAATTGTATTTATCATGAATAGTCAAGGTCACGGCATTTGGTATTGGTGAGTACTCAAGATGGAATGCATAAATTTGTATCGGTTGGAAAAAAGTGATATCATCGAAGATCCCTCCCATTTATTTAACTTTACAACAGAAAAAAAATCAGTTCGACTTTTTGCCAATTATTTTTGGGGAGGGGCCTTAATGTCATGATCTTTATGTCTTAATGTGTACATTGAGACAAGATCATCCTTGGCACAATAAAGGTTGAGAACGACCGGTCGGATAGCAAATATCAATCAATCAATCAATCAATATGTATTGAATCAATTTGTAATCGCATTTTTTCTTGATTGCTCCACTTGCTCACCTTTTCAAATGCGCCATGAGATACTTGAGCGTTTCGTTGTGTGACGCGGGCAGCAGAGCCAGCGCCTCTCGGAAAGCTTCAAGCTTCTTGTCCTGGTCCGACAGCTCTGACGGAAGAACGACATCGTGGTTAAAGTTGGCGAAAACACGCGGGACAGCAATCAAGGAAATCAATGAAGCTCTTTCCTGCCCCGGCGATGAAATCCATTAGCTTCTCAACGGGGAGAGCGCTAATGCATATTGTAGTCAACGCAGAATATTGACCGGATGGATTTCTGTCCACACGTTTGGAAGTGCGGTGGCGGCGCGAGACTCACTTGCGGCCTCAATGAACCTGGGGTAGGCCTTGTATGAGATGACGGGGACGGGCAAATCCCGCAGGTAGAGTTTCAGAGCGCCCGTGATGATGTTGATGTCTTCGTACGCTTTCACCGAGATGTCCGTCTTCTCGCCAGCTGCCGGGGGGATGAGTGATGGGACAACGAGCGAATGGAACGAAACGACGGAGGAAAGGCAAATGAGAAGCGGGTTGGCAGTCGGCACTTCTACACAGCGCCGGCGTCGACGCCGGTGGTGTGTTTTGGAAAGTGTCGAGTGAGCTTTGATGTCCGCTCGCTCTCCCTGGGTTGCGGGCGCTTTTGGCGAGCGGGCCGTGGCCTAGTTGTGCTGGCAGGCTGAACATCGCAGCGCTGTGAGCTGGAATGACACTCTGTCACGGGTGATCTCCCACATGCCGATCTGGGAAAGTCCACTGCTCCAGTTAAAATTCACACGGCACTTGCCCGACTAAGCCCGACACATCTCAAGAGCGTGTTGGAGCAACCCCCATTTTTAAAATGATTATATTTTTTTTCACGTGGCTGTACACAAGAATGATGTTTTGAATGGCCCTCGTTGCTGGTGAAACGAACACAATGTGCCAACACTACCTTGTGACGATTTGGAATGTGATATTAAACGACACTTCAATATGCAGGGTGCAAGGTTGTTATAGTTAATGAAAACAAACAAAATACACCCAAAAAATAAATAAAAAACAACAAAAAATACAAACAGGCAGCGAAGCAAAATGACACGGTGCGGTTATAAAACTAGCTCAAACTAATTCTAATTACTGTGTACTGAAAAAGTAGCTTGAGGCGTTGATTTCGCTGGACGGAAGAAGGAAAGTTGAATAGCCATTTGGGAATTGTTGTTTACTTCATGATTCAACATTTATTTAGATTTTTTTTTTTGTTGTTTTTTTTTTATCTTGCACTCGACAAATACTTGGAACAAAAAAACTAAAACTAATACTAAAATGAATAAAAAGTAAAACGAAACAAATATGAGTTATCAGAATATTCCAAAGAGAATTAAAAGTGTAGTTTAGAGTTGCCCCCCCAGCCCCCTGTCAGTGGCTTTCGTGTCAACACTGCATGCGAACGACACGCGTCCTTTCAAACTTGTCACCTTTCTCATTCATCCCAAGTGACGGTCCGTCATCGTTTGACGATGTGCGCGGCCGTGCCAATCAAAATCGGTCGGTGGTGTGAGTGGACAAAACGACAGCAACTGCAAACCTTTGTCGAACGCCGTCTTGACTTCTTCTACGGAGTCGCTGAATCCCGAGACCCTGTAGAGACCTTCGGACTTCAGTCCTGAAGGACAAGGAAGACACTTCAGGGAAAATGAACCTCTGCCTTTGGTCATTTGAGATGTTCTAATAGAAGAGCTATTTATCTATCTATCAATCAATCAATCAAAAAAATACACACACACACACGCACGCACGCACGCACGCACGCACACACGCGCGTGCAGGTATAAATAATGTGCATGTCAGACTAAAATAATGGGCAGATGCGAATTGTTTTCTGCATGGCTAAGCAACCTAATAAAGATATAAATCAAAGCGAGCTCCAGATGTCAGTCAGGGGCAGACAATGAGGAAGCAATGAGCTCCTCCTACATCATTTGAATGAAATACAATCAACCTGGGCGGTCGGATGCGCTGCGGCGAATTTCTCGTGAGATACTGAGCTGACTCTCATCCGCAGCGGGTGAATTTAAAAGGGGGCCGGCAAAGAAGAGAATCGATACATCGCTTCAATTCTTCGCGTATATCGTTTCAAACTGCGACAGAAACAACCCGAGTGATGACTCGAATCGGTTTCCGGCGCACTCACCTCTTGACTCAATCTCTCGTATGCACATGTCCACCACCATGGGTCGCGCCGTGTTGTGTGCGTTCACCAAGGTGGTGAGGTCGCAGCTGTACACTTTGCGGACGTGTCTCAGGCTGGGCTTGCAGTTGTCGGGCACCAGAGGTGAACACTGTTTATGGACGTTCACGCCGCAGTCTGCAACAAGAGGACGGGGGCGGGGTTTGAGAAGCCTCTCAAATGTTGTCCTTTGTCGGGCTAAATAATAGATCTCGGTTGATGGGATGCTTTCAGTTCATCAACCTAATTGAGCTTTTGTATTGATTCAAATTCCACCGTGAAATAATTGAGGGCTTGATTGTGTTTAGGGGGGCAGAGAAAAACACAACAAAGGTCTTAGTCTTCTCAATCAATATGTAGACCCGGAATGTCATGAAGCCCCTCCTCCTTGTCATGCAATTTCAGCCCCCCCCCCCACAACCATTATTATACACGAAAACAGTCTGCAGTCGGTGGTCCTTGATGGCCGGATGGATCGTAACGACTTGGCAACTTTGCAAAGCCGACCTGGTTGCAGACAGCCGAGTGAAACAAAGCGCACGCTGGGTAAAAGGTTTCATCGCGGGCTCAAAACGGGTGCGGCGATGGGATTAAAAATGTTGCGACCGGCCGTTTAATCTATAAATCCAGTCGGGTTCTGAGATCGGCAGTCGGGTACATTCGTGGAGTCCAGGGTTCAAAGCAAACATGATGCATCGGCATTTAGCTGTTACGCTGTACGTAAATGGAATAAACTACCCACAAGCAAGTGTCAATGCTTTTAAACCCAGGTGAATTTTTTTTTTTCTGCCTTGCCTTGCCTTGAAAATTGAAAAGAAAACTTTGGGAGTGAAGAGGTGAAAAACCGCCAGAACAAAGAGTGTGGGGGGTGGTGTCATTGGGTGTTTTATAGATAAACCCGTACGGACCGGTGAATTTGCAGGTGTGAGTAAAGAGAGAACCACTGTTTCGGGGCAAGGTCCACCGTGTTGGGTGAACAAGGGACCAGTGGAGAACAGGCAACATGAGAGGACCCCCACCTCTGCCTTTGTAAAAGAGGCAGATGCACGCAGCGAATCAGAAGAACGCTAAAAAGGACGAGAAGTGGAGGCGGGCCGCCGCTGTTGAGCTCTGCTTTTTTTTTCTTCCCCCTCTTCTCAAATCCAAGCTCATGCAGCAACAATGGCAGCGGAAGCGGCAATTCAGCCGCTGCGGGCTACTCCAGACCTACTTTCGCAGACTAAAATGGAGCAGCTCCTCCAGCTCTTTGATCTTTTGAGTCCTCTCTAATTTCAGTGAGGTTTTCATCTGCATGTTTTTTTTTTTTTTTAATCCACCCACACCCCAAATTTTCAAATTTTCCTTCCGTTCACCTTAAAAGCCTACTCCTTCTCCACGTCGAACCTGGAGACGTTATTTAGATTAAGCGGGCTCCCGGGAGAAAAGGATGCAGCGTTTATATGCATCGGTGCAGAAATGTAATTACCTTAAGAGATGATTCTCTTAAGGGTATCTGACAGGGAGTATAATAGAGGAGGCCTGGGTCCATGTGTGCGCATGGAAAGCCTCCGAGGGTCCCAGGTGGGGTGAGGGAGGGTGCGGTGGACGATCCAAGGAACACCAGCAGAGATGGGGATGCAATTTTACTGCACAGTCAGCGGTTTGGTCCGGTTGCCATGGCGAGGAGGCCACGGCTGCGTCTGTTATGGTGATGTTTAATGGTGACTTCTTCCACCAACTGACCCGCCCTTGCTTGTTTTTTTTTGTGGTTGCGCATTTGATAAATAATTCAGGTTTAATAAAATGAAAGGGATGAGCCGCGCGACCAAGCTTGATGGGTTCGAAGTGGCTGCGTTTTAAGATGTGTGGAAACGGAGCTGCTTCCCCTCGCTCTGAGCTCGGCACCTCATTAAAGAGACATGCCAGCTTTGTTTTCCTTCACGGGCATGATGAGATGATGCTGGGGGGGGGGGGGGGGTTGGAGAGTCAGTGGGGCCAAGCAAAGGCTGGCTCCCTGGAGCTCGGCCAAAACAGTTGAGCTCATACAAAAGGGGGAAAGGGGGGCGGCGGAGCACGTTTTTTTTTTTTTTTTTGGTATGCAAATCTGAGCACCATGAGAGACTTTGGTGCCCCAGATTCTGACGCTGGTGCTGGAGAGTGAAGGAATGGCAGCACGGGAGTCTCCGAAGCCTAGACTGCAAACATACGCGTCTTTAATTTGGATGCTGTCAGCTTTCAAAACGGAAGCATTAACAATTCACGTCGACGCTCCGGCTGACACCGAGTGTATGTGTGACACACTTTGTCTCATCAATAAAACATCAAACAGGCAATCGGAGAAGGATGTGAATTTTCACAGCTACAGCTAAACAGAAACCTCGTCAGGAATACAAAGTGGCAACAGAACTTTTCGGGCTGGAAAAAAAAAAATGGTTGATGAATTTTAATTGAATTGTTGAGCACGGAATAAATAATCAGACTGTGTATGCCTTGCATACTCTCAAAACAAATGGGTCAAAAAGGGGCCAACCACTGCTAGGGTCAATTTGACGCAATTTCCCTCAAAAACTTGGGTTGGATTTGTTGGGTTAATTATGACCAAAGTTATTATGGTGAACTAAAACGACAAAACTAAAATTGATAAAATATTATGGCTAATGAAATGATAACAGTTAAAAAAAACAAACAAACAAAAAAAAAAAAAACTAAAATGAACTGAATCTATGCTCTTCCGCTTATAAATCAAATTAAAATGAAGTAGAAACAGAGCAAAACTGTATTTTGCTTTTGGCTTCATCAATTCATTTCATATCAGTTTGGTAGAAGGACGTTCAGACGGTTGTTTGGTGAATGTAGGTTCCTTGATTTTATGACACAATAGGAACTTTTTTTTAGCTTGCATTCGACAAAAACACCAAACACAAAAAAAAAAAAGAAAGTATAACCCACATAAAGCTAATACTAATAAATAGAATTAAAATGAAACCTTTTCGAAAAATAAAAACCCATAAAAACAAGCTAACTTTGCTCTAAAAGGTACTTTAAGCTAACTGAATTTGAAAAACAAAACTCCAAACTAAATAAAATGATGGAAATAGATCAACAAAAGGGTACAGATAATTCTGGCTGGAATGTCCCATGTTTCCGAATATTCTGATGCTCACAAACATGGAGCAATTGAAGTTACATCACCATCACCAAGGCCTCGTTCCACTCGATTATCCAACCCCCTAATCCAATGTTTTCACTGTTGGGATTGTAGATTAAAAGGAAAATAATCCCGTTCCAGATGTACTAAAAACCAAGTAACCCATATACAGCAATGCTCACTTTGTAATCAGCGAAGGAAACACGCGAGCCATCGGAAGCGATTGGTACCTGCACACTTGACCCCCTGAGACATCAGCCCCCACATGAAGCTTGCGCAGTGCTCGCACCAGTGAGGCCCACGGAAGGTATGCACCTGCGGCACAAGAGGACAATGACAGATCATCGTCATTACGAAACAGCGGGCCATTTAAAAAAAAAAAAAAATCTGCTCTCCAGAGTTATGCATCATTCTCGTCTTTGTCAGGAGGAGCCCCGGACTCATTTTGTGGACGACACCGAAACACTTTTTTAGTTTTATGATTGTTTTTTTTTTTTTTTTGTCTCATCGTTAGACTGCATTATTTTTAATAACCTGGAAAAATCAGTTCCATTGCGCCCCCC